ATGCCGGGCATTTTTATACGTACGAACTATATATTTAATTAGCTACACTCTTTACCGGGTTGGTTTGTTTTGTATTTTTGGCCTAACTACGTAGCTTACTCTAACCGAAACTTTATATGAATTAAAGTATTTTAGTAATTATTTCAATTATTGTGTTCCTGTTTCAGTGAAAAGAAAAACATATCATTAAAACAAAATTTGTACGTAATTTTCTCAATCGTAAACAGTTTTAATGTGTTCTTTATAAATGTGGTTTTGTATCAGGGCACGCGATAGCTATCTTCACCACTTTCGTTTTGCCAAATTTATAATTTACGAATTACTTAATGACAAAGAAAATTTTGTTCCCTTTAATCTATAATTCTTTCTGTTTACTGCTTGTAATTCTAAGATCACATTTCATCTAACTTCTGATTTTGTTTTTTCTGCGTTGTATTCACCGTATGGGTCGAACTCCGAAGTTTAGCGCTATAAATAATTTACCTTACCGCTGAGCCACCTGGGGACTAATTTCTGAAATGTCCAGTCTATGAACTAAATAGTTTTAATATGCATATAAATTATTCAAACATAAGGTGTTGTTATCCTAAATTCAGTTTTATTTATTTTTGTCGTTTTAGCTGTATGCTGGGTGTGTCCAGTTGGTTAGTGTGCCGAGCTGCTTCAAATCGCTCCACAGTCAATATCACTATTCGGATAAGACTGTCGCGTGGGCGAATGACGCTACTAGCTGGTACCCTCCTTCTAGCTCCCCAACGGCACAGCGGTATGTCTGCGGACTTACAACGCTAGAAACCGGGTTTCGATACCCGTGGTGAGCAGAGCACAGATAGCACATCGTGTAGGTTTTGTGCTTGTTTAACTTCAAACAAACAAACAAATCCTCCTTCTAATTAGCAATGATAGATTCGGGACCTTAATCTTAGACCTTGCTATATATTATACCCTATGTGTTGCATAGGTTGAAAATGCCATCTACTTTTTAGTTGCCAATGTGTGTAATTATTTGTAATTCTCGTTAATCCAATTACTCTCTACTTTAGTGTAATTTTGTAAAAAAAAAAAAATCAATGGTAAATTAAGTTTCATTTTCAATTTTTAGATTGATAAACGTCATTCCCTTAACAGACGGCTGCAACTAGTAAAAATATATGTTTAGTTTGGAAAATTAACTTTGTAAGTTCTTTTCTATATTCTAGCTGTTGTGTCACATGGATATCCTTGAAACTTCGTTCTTTATTCACTTTTAGTTGCTCTCGAACTTACCGAAACAAAACTAAAGAAATCACAGAATGGTGTGTAATGCAAAATTTTAAAGTTAACAAGTTAAAAGTACAGTAAGATGAACACAACACAACCAGTAAATAAAGCTTGGGATCTTTAATTAATTATTTTAAAACTTATTGTAAAATTGTTATAAAAATAAATGGGGACATGCCTAAGGGTTTCATGATTGTTGCCACTGTTGAGAGGATTAGTAATAAGTTATTTTCCTGGGTAAGCACTTGGCTATTCTTCGTCTAAAGAGCTTGTGGGATTCTGTTTCTCTCCACTTTTCAACTGTTCAAAACATTTTGGTTATATAGTTTCACCTCCTGCTGCGTACTTAGTTGAATATTTACATAAGTAATCAGAAACAAACACTACGAGGGGTAGTAGCTGTTTTTATCGAGTTTCCCATTTTTATCATTCTGGAGCAACACGTGCAACTTTTAGACAGCCTCAACAGCAACCTGCCCTTAGCTAGCTTAGGTCACTATTTTGGCAAACACCGAGCACGTGGTGGCCTTTGTCCAGACTCAACTGTTGACTGTGACCAGAGTAAATAAGAATTTAATGACTTTTCATCCAACCTGAAAGGTCGGACCTGATTCGTTGCAGACATTGTAGTGTGTTTGTCAGAGCGTGTAGCTTTTTCTGAGGTGGCAATAAGCGATTGACCCCACTCCATGAAGGTCCAGTATCATTATTTCACTCGTAAATCGAGCTGAGTGAACCTAGGTTTGCAGTTTTAACTTAGATGATGTGATATTCTCTCTTTTTTGTGAACACATATATGTTTAATAGTTATCCTTAGTGTTCATATTGAGTTGATATATATATATTCCAAATTAGATGTAGTTACTCATGTGATTATACAATAATGTGTTAATATAATGGAAAACAGATCACGAAAGTCACGTATTGTACGAGTCTCTGTATTTAAGTTTAACAATACAAAAGAGTGGTGAGGACAATGGTGTTATTTGAAAATGGTAAATTTTTGAAATGTTTCATAATCTTATTTGGAGTAGGTTTATTTTATACGTTTTAATATAATTCGCTTTGTTTTTGTTTTTCTTGCTTTTTTTAGTACTGTTTGATCTGAAGCCTTTAAGGACTTTAAAGGAAAGACTTGAATATGTACAGAGGTTAATCACTGAACACAGTTAGAAGTGGTTAAACCTGGTTTTGAAGAAGCTAACGCGGGAACGCTCTTCTGAGCTGCAAAACTATAAACACTAACCAACTAGGAAAAAATATGAAGGAATGAGTTCGTCTGGAACTTTGACCCAGCCGTTATTAACAAACATTAGGTCACCTATGCCGATTTCATTCGAAACGTCGATGGCAACACCATCTCAGCTGGAGGAGCCGCTGAAGATGGAGCCACTGTGCTACAGAGAGGAGTTCCAGGAAGAAGGCTATCACTCTGAGTCTGAGAAGCAAAAAGAGCGTGCAAACGATGAAGACTTGTCCTCAGTCACCTCGCCAAGAGGAGCTTCTGAAGCATTCTCTCATGCTTTGCCAACAGAAACCATATCCATGGGTAACGGCGATGATGGGGAGAGACATGACAGCTACAACCTATCCTATGGAGAGGATTCTGACGAAAACTCCTTCAGTAACGATACTAGTGAAATGAAGGATGAAGAAGATTATTCGAATCCATTAGCTCAGCTACAGAGTGTACTGGAGAAGAACGGCATGCTTGGCTCGAAACTTGAATTCCCGACATCAACCAACGGCTCATCTCCTGTCAGTGCCAGCGAAGATGGAACTAGTCCTGACCCATTTCCTCCCTTGGGTGAAGATGACGTCACAGGAGAAGTCTACCGTTGTCACTTGTGCAGCTATTCTGGAACCTCCAAATTTCACTTTAATTGCCACATGAATACCCACTTCGACCATAAATGTCCATTCTGTGATTACACTTCTAGGACAGAAGGTCGTCTCAAACGCCATGTAAAAGATTTTCATTCAGAAGTCCCTCCAGGTAGTTGGAGTGGACAACGAGTTCCTAGGATAGAGGAAAACCCAAGTGATATAGACCCAAACACACCTACCAGGACCTCAACGGGAAAAGTCCGCCATTACCGCTGCAAACAGTGTAACTTTGTTTCTGTTACAAAAACTGACTTTTGGGAACATAGCAAGACACATATCAAATCAGAAAAGCTTCTAACCTGTCCCAAGTGTCCTTTTGTGACAGAGTACAAACATCATCTAGAGTATCACCTCAGGAACCACTTTGGATCCAAGCCCTTTAAATGCTCAAAATGCAATTACAGCTGTGTGAACAAGTCCATGCTAAACAGCCACATGAAGTCTCACTCTAACATCTATCAGTACAGATGTGCTGATTGTTCCTATGCCACTAAGTATTGCCACAGTCTGAAACTTCATTTGCGGAAATATTCGCACAAACCTGCCACAGTTTTAAATCTTGATGGAACTCCAAATCCATACCCAGTTATTGACGTCTATGGAACCCGCAGGGGTCCAAGGCCCAAGAAACAAAAAACAGAGGATCAGCAGTTCCCATCTTCTAGTCAGAGTCCAATTTCTTCCATTGCTCAGATTCCACCAGTAGTACAACCATCATCTGACATGTCTCAATTTATTCCTACTTCCTTAGGTTTACCATTTTTGTATCCTCCTCATGTTATGTCTGGCCCTCACAACAGTATGTTTATTCGCCCACCTTCATTACTGAAAGCACTGCCACCTCCTAGTGGTCCATTATCAAATTCAACTCCATCAAGCAGACCAGACACACAAGGGACTAATCCATCAAACACAAACTTAGGCAGTCTAAAGTGCAACCAGTGTAATTTCACCACAGAAATCAGAGACATGTTTAGCAAACACCTATTACTGCACGTGGCTTCAGAAAACCAAGATCTTTGTAAATTATATGGAATTACTTCTGAAACTCTTCTACAAATGCAGGATCAACAACAACAGCGTCCAAGATGGAGTGCAGATGGAAATAAAATCGACCAGGTTGCCTCAAAAAATCCCAGTTCGAGGATCGAAAGTCCAAGGCCATGGGAAGGAAAAATGGTATTTTATGCTACAGAATCTGTTAAAGATGACTTGAATATAAAAACATATAAAACTTCCCCCATACACACACAACTCCAGAAGTCTAAGGTGCCTTCTCCTCTCCCTGAAGTAAAAAACAGCTCTCCTTCTATGTTGAATACTCGAGTTGGTAGTCAATCAATGTCCACCCCTTTACTCCAGGCTCAACTGTCTTCTGGACCATTACTCTCGCGAAAAGGACCTTATCTCAAACCTGATGTTCACTTCCCGTTGGATCTGAGTAGTTGTCGCAGTAGTCCAAAATATCAGCAAACCATCTCTGATCAAGAAGCCCTAATATCTGTTCCTCAGTCAGATTCTTCAAATGAGCACCAGCTGCATTCTATTTCATCAGAGTCCAATGCTTCTAAATCTGCCCCTTCACAGCTAATACCCTCTCATTCAAGTCATTCGCTACAGACAAATGGCTCACGATCTGCTGTGTTTGAACCTGTTCCTCTTTGTTCCTCTCAGGATCTCCCTCTCACCACTTCTAGTAAGGCGATTGACACGACAAGCTCTCATACGTCTTCACAAACCTCATCATCCACTCCTCGTAATCGTAGGAAAGGAAAGGCTGTAAAGTTAGAACGCCTCCAATATGCTTTTGAAGACAAGTGCTCTTCTGAAGAGCTAATGGACTATGACACAGAAGACTACAAATTCCCTGTGACAGAGGCTGCTCAAGAATCTATTTCAAGGAATTCTGTAGATAACGTCGACGTGATCTCAGTACCCATATACAAGCCTTCTACCACTGTAGATTCCCCTCAATCTTCTCATCAGATAAACCCTAATGCAACAAAAGTTTCAGAGACGAAACCTCCCTCCCAGATTGGACCAGTTCGACCAATTCCCAAAATTAACGTTTCAGCAGAAGCGACTAGAATAGCTAGGCCAGTACCTCAGCCTCTTCCATTCAACCCTTTGGAGTTGAGCAGGATGGGCAGTCAGCCCATGCCTTTTCCTTATCAGGTGTCGTCTCTCTTCTTTGGACATAACGGATTAAACGCAACGCACAATGGAAATGTGATAACTTCGTACGATCGTTACTCTGGTTTTCCTTATCATGATTTTTCTGTGGCTAATGTGATGCGTGAAGGACCTATCTGCCCACCACCAAAGGCTGCTCTACCTCTCAAGCAAAATGGAGCCGATACCAAGGACAGGCCCAGCTCCAAAAATGAAGAAGACAAGGCCAAATGGCAAGACGCCTACGCGTGTAGCTACTGCGATATGGCATTTAAAGACTGCATCATGTACACCATGCACATGGGTTACCATGGTTACCAAGACCCCTTTACATGCAACATGTGCGGCCAACAGAACAAAGACAAGGTTTCGTTTTTCTTGCACATTGCTCGGTCTGCTCATCATTGAAACTCCTAGTATTAATAACGTGACAAAACAGGAAATGTAGCCTTTTTTATGGACACGAACTGATACTACCTCATTTTATATCGTGTTTAGTGGTGACCTAAATTTTATGTAGGTAAGAAAAACGTTACATGTTAAATGTTAACTTGGCCATATCTTCGTCTCTAGATTGAAACAGTAACATGCTCCAATTAAGAAGTAGTTTGAAATTGTGCCATGTTGTTCTTACGTTAATATTTGGTTTGTATTTACTAAGGTATAAAAGTTTTATATATGTATTTATTTATTGTATCCCATATAGGCTGTGATTAACACGACATTGATGCTTAACTACAAGACCTGTCAGTCAGTAATTCATATTTTAAACATTTTTTTCGGAGGGGCTCAGACTGACAGGTCACATTCCAGAGTGTCAAATGACCATGGATGCTTGTAATTCTATAATTTCTACAGCAAAAAAACATTCTGTCAGTTTTAGTTATTGGAGATACTTGGTAAGTCAATGTAAAAAAAAAATGCCAAAGGTGTTATTGGTCATGCACTTTTCTTTTACACGTATTTATTAGCGTAGATCACATAAGCCACTTGGCAAGTATGATAGATAGTACAGTAATCTGAAATGTATAAATTTGCGTGAGATGTTTTAGTAGAAAATAGGCTCGTTTTAATAATGAAAAGACTACTTGATAAGTTAATCAAAACTTGTGACCCTTAGAGTGCTTATCGCTAGTCAGTTCCTGCTTTTCCTTATTTACTAAGTCCTAGTAGGAATGAACAAAAGAGCAAAAATCAAAACAAATATAAATATGGTGTTGCCAGCATACACTGGAATGTTGAATATTTTATGGTTTGATAGCAAATGTTTGTATCGCACAATCTCGTCGAAAAGTAATTTGAAATGTATGCGTTTAAAATTTCTTCGAAGATTTAAATCTATTATCCTACCACCTAGTGAGTAAGTGGTATACTAATATTACTGTGTAAGATGCCTTGAACCGTATATATATGTTTGGATTAATAATACTCTCTGTATTCCTCGACCTATGAATACAAAGGTGCTATGGTGTTAATTCGAAGGTCGGAATATGTTTTGTTGTTTAACTACCTCAGTCTTGGTTCATTATCTTGTTTTTCATTTAACAACATGATAATCTGCTATTCAGTCTTAAAGAGGTACATAAGCAACTATAATTAAAACTTTAAAGAGTAATACATTTTTATAAATAGTTAAAGGAACATAAGTGACCAACATAATAAAGAGTTCAACTGTTCCTTCCAACTGTGATGTTTAAATTTGTACCAATCTTTAGCTCAGGAAAAGTCGTGGAAATTGTTCTCACCCAAGATTTCCAAGGAGAGTGAGTGAAGTGTGCATTCGAGTGTTTTAGAAGTTTATTTTATATATTTTGTTTCAGTTTTTTTTTTTTTGTATGTTAAAAACATTCTTGTTATACGGGTTATTTGTAAAATATGAAGAATTTTCACCTGTTAGTTAGAACGTTTTTTTTTTGTATGTATTATAGTCACAAGATAAAGTCACGGGTATTTTAGTGACCCCGGATCAGTACCACAAGTTGAGGTATACAACACTAGATATAATTTTTCTTGGCTATCAAAAATGCAGTTGAGGTTCTGAATGAGAGGGGTGGGAGGATCATTCGCGTCTGACCCCTGTCTGGCCATTGGCAACACCCATGACCTTCACGTGGTTAGAAATCTGATTTTAAGTTAAGGAAGATGATAATATAATCCTTTAAAAAGTGGTATTTTCTTAAATAGCAATAAATTACAAGTAAATAAAAGTTTATTGACAATAAAACATATTCCTACACGTATGTTTTTGCAGCTAATCTCAACTCACAAGCGTCAATAAACAAATATGTAGCAGTATCCTAACCTGTTTCTAGTTTACTAGTATTTAGTTTACACATTTCATTAAAAAAAAGCGTAAAATAATGCGATAACTTAATATCGTCACAATAAGGTTTAATCTCAGATATGATTTCCACACAAAACTGTGTTGAAAATTGATTTTGTCGTAATTTGCAATACATTCTTTTTCGATTTTTTTTGTATTAAACTTGCCTACTTCTATCGAAAAATCCAAAAATACATATTGCATTTGCAGAGAATTGTTACAAAGCAAGAATAATGTCTTTCGCGCGTAGAACGTCACCTGAACACTTTTATGTGTACCAAACAATCAGTAATAGAACCTTAAATCTGCATTTTTTTACCATCCCAGTGTCTATTGGGCACTGATGTTAAACCTCAACATACATAGTTTCATCGAAAATTAACTAATAATTGAGTGATAAGTGTTTAAAACTTAGACACTTGTGATGTGCTGATTTGAAGTGTGAGAGGTCCAATATTTTTCTTGGTCCAAGTGTTATCTTATTGTGTGTCTTTAACAGTCTAATACAAATATTACTAGACGTATATGTGTATAAAACAATTCAGCTTTTGAACCTTTAAATTAAAATTAAATTCAAAACTCATATTAAACACCTGTATAAAAACCTAAGTTGTGTTACAGAAGCAAAGTTCCTGGAAGTTTGACTCGTATTTTGTAACTAATTGTTATCGGTATTTTATTTTAATCTGAAGACATTTGAAAATCAAACGAGATCAGTTTTTGCATGTAAGATCTCAGTTAAGAAAGTTCTGTTTAGATGTTATATTTCATTTGATGGTATTGTTATTTATTTTCAAAGTGAAAAACGTTTCTGTTTAAATGTGGAAAATATTTGAACGAACGACTTCATTTAAGACCTTATTTAATTAAACTTCAAGTTCTTGGAACAGTAAAATGTGAAGGAGCGGAGTTTCAATTCAGCCAACTAAGCTGTTTTGTATATCTTATCATTAAAGTTTGCAAAGATAAACATGAAATCCAGACACTGAGCTTTCATTTGTACAAGGATTGTATGTTTCTCAATTTTTTATGCCAAATATTTAAAGAAAAAGGACATTTAATATCATTTTGTGATTTGTAGTTTTTTATATATATAATTTTCACATCTTAAGCGTTCTAGTAAAATTAAAATTATTTTTGTCTTATGTTGTGTTAATAAAAGATTTATGGTTTATACTGCAATGTTTTTAAAACTTCCAATCTCAAAAATGCCTTTATGAAAAACAAACATTTGGAATATAGGAGTGTGTTTATAAAGAAAGTAACACAACACTTGATGGTTGTAATCATTATGGGGTAGAACTCCCCTTCAAATTCAAGTAAACTACGTCTAGCTACGAGCGATATATATATATATTTTAGTGTATCTGACCATATGATGTTTATCAATTATATTTGTGAACACATTTTGTATATGAATCGTTTTTATCAATGTAATAAGTAGTGTTGTGTCATTCAATGCAATGGTATGGTGGTGGTACACTTCGTTATTTTCTACTGGCAAATAGCCTTTGTAGCAAATGATGAAAGCTCGGGGTAGAAACGTAAGTATAGTGGCGCCACCTATATTCCATTTAAATAATAAGATAATATTTTATGGACGTATTATCAGAAAGTTTCTCATGTGGTGTCGTCATTTGTGAATAAAAATTGAAAAACCTAAATTTTATAGTGATTTGTATATATTATTGTAGTTTCGGAAATATGTCTTAAAAACCAATGTGAAAAGTTCGTTTTAAAAAGTTACAACAAGCAACCTCGAAACTTTACAAATTATGATTTAAATTGTTTGCAAATGAAATCAATAATTTAAAAAAACACCCATAATATACATATAATTGTAAAATATTTGCGAGAACTTAGTGTCCATAAAAAAGACTGCTTTAAATATTCCTAAGTTTAAAAGTTTGGATAATTATTTAATAACACTGGCCTAAGTTTCTAGTAAAAAAATATATATATATTATCTTTAGCACGTATTTTAAATTTCAGTGTGTTGTAAGATTACAGAAAGCTTATCCATGTTGGATTTTCAACAGATATAAATAAGAAGTGAACAGTGCCGTGGAGATAATTTTGTTAGTTTTACAACTGCCAAAACAATGGTTAGTTTAACAATTCCTGCTAGAGCTACTTCAATACGTTAGTGAAAATACAAATATTTGATACACGTTAAATATTTATTAACTATTCAGTAGCCTCGTCCCCGTCACGCCAAACATGCTCGCCCCTT